GGTTTATTATATGTAGGATTTCAGAATCTAAGAATAAAGGTACCCGAATTGTCCTTGTTAGTGCCCCCTTGGGCTGTTAACCCTCAATCCTAGTCCATCACAGACTAAAATGGATCGAGTTCAATTCAAGGGGATACACTTCTCTATGCCTGACACGGAGAATAAATTCTCACGAAGACATAGAGTATATGAACCCCGAAAGTTACTTGCTAGGTCTGACACGGAGAATAAATTCTCACGAAGACGTCGCTTTCACTTTCACTTAAAAGGGACAAACTCAATTATAGAGCTTTATGTTATGCAATGCAAGTGTTGTGTGTGAGGAGAAATGTTCAAACCTTTGACAGAAAAATAAATAATGAAATAAAATACTTGCAAGTAAAATGAAATATAAATAATATAAAGTATATAAAAAATTTGAAAAGAAAGAATTATAAATTAAATATAAGAATTTTTAATTTATAATTAATAGAGACAATTTATAATTGATTTTAAAAGTTTGACGTTCTCCAGCGGAGTCGCCAAGCTGTCGTAACCGGTTTTCGTCCGGGCACGAATTTTTACTTGGCGGGAAAAGTGATGTGAATAAATTAATGATTTTGATTTTTAAAAAAAAATATTTTGGGAGTCGCCATCGGCCTTTTGGGTTAGGTAGGTCGAATACCTAAAAATCATCTTTTAAAAGAGTTTTTAAGAAAACATCGATTAAAAGATAAACTGATCTGCGTTTTAACCAAAAATTCGTTCTTTTAATAATAAAAGGGATTCGTGGTCGGTTACGTTTAGGGAAGGATTAGCACCCCTACAACGCCCAAATTTGGTACTTTTTAATTAGAATTGTCTCTATTATTAGAAATTTAAAATTCAAAATATATTTAATTTATAATCCTATTATTTCAAAATTATAATTATGAGAAGAAAAAAAATATTAATTTATATATATTTATAAATAAAATATTTATTTATTTAGAAATATCAGAAAAGGACTTCTAGGTTCCTTAAGACAGCTCTTTTCTTCGATATTAATAAATATTAACAATATAATAATTTAAATAAAAATAAAATTATAATTTTTTATAATATTTAATTTTAAAATACCAGAATAAGACATCCAGTTGTATTAAGACTGCCATTCTCTTCGATATTGAAAAATAAATAAATATTAAAATATGATAAAAATAATTTATGTAAAAAATATATATATAAATTATTATTTATTATATATATATTTATATGACTATATAATAATAATAAAAATAATATTTAAATATATAAACAAGTAAAATTAAAACATAAATAAACAATAATAAAAATACAATTAGAACTATATATTTAAAAGCAATAAAACTTTATAATAAATGAAAATATTTAAAATTAGTGACTAAATTATAATCTAATAAAATTAAATACCTAATTCATAATTAATTATTTGAAATTATAGGGATTAAACATGTTATTTCTCCTTATTTATTAATTTGGTGACTAAAATAAAATTATATAATAATTCATATATCAGATTAAAATAAATTAAAAAATGTACTCGAGATTAAAATATCAATTATTAAAATTAAAGGACTAAATATGATATTTATCCTAAATATATTATTTTAATATAAAGGACTAAAATAATTAAAATTAAAATTAAAGAACCGAATTAAAAGGATTATAAATTGATTTAGTGACTAAAATGTAAGAATTACAAATTAGGATGGCTGCGGAAAGGGTTTAACCTTTAGTTAATTACAGGCAGATCCCTCCCCAAAACGACGTCGTTTGGGGAGGGGCTATATAAGCCCTTAACCAGCTAGCCCGAAGGGCCAGCTCTCATTTCTCCTATTCCCTCTCTCTCTCTTCTTTGAGAGAGTTTTAAAAACTCTCTCGCTTCTCACTAAAACAGAGAGAAGCACCGGCCGGCATCCGTTCGCCGGCGTTAACCCCGCCGCCGGCCACCGCATCCGGTGGTTGGAAAAAAATTTTTTACACCTAAATATAGATCGGACCATCCTATTGATGGTTCCGATGACCGTTTCCCTTAAAACATTCCCGATCAGAGCAAATCTACAAAAATACCTTCGGTTTTCGAAGGTTTCCGATGACGTGTGAAGGCTTCGGTGATGTTGCAGTAAGTATCTCTCCGTCTTCTCCTTGCTTATTTTTGGGTTTGTGGTTGCTGGTTGTTGTGAGTTGGTCTCTATTTTTGTATCTTTGCTCTCGGTTTTGTTTCTCTGTGGCTGTTGGGGTGTCTTCTTTCTTCGCAGGTTCGGTGGTGGCTTTATAGCCATCACCGGCACTTGTCTCGGATCGGGTAAAAGAGTGGAGTCTGGTGAGTCACCGGACTTCTTGTGGTGACTCACCGTTGAGGGCAACGTGTGCGGCTGGAGTGGCTCTTCTGGAAGCTTCCGACGAGACGTGGCAGCGGTGGAGATGGTGGAAGTAGTTGCGGCGGCCGCGTGGCCCTAGGGTATCATCACCCTAGGGTTTGTGCTGGATGAGTGTGGGCCGTTTGATCTCTCAGATCCAACGACTGAGATTGAGGCGGTGACGCACGAGGCTAGGGTTAGAAAACCCTAACTGAAACCCTAAATGTTTTAGGGTTTCCATTTGGTTTGGGCCAACTGGTTGTCTGTAACTGGGCCGGTACAGTTTTCATTGGGCCTGTAATTATTTTTTTTATAATAATAATAATAATAATTATTATAATAAATAAATAAGTAAAATGGGTAAAAAATTAGTATCTTCACTGATAAGATGGAATTTGATCAGTGACTATCAAAATTAAATATTTAGATTGTCTCTAGCTATCGAAGACGGACATAGAATTTTATGTTATAGGATAAATTTCTAAAGTTTTAAGGGTATGTCAACTTATAAAATTCTAGAGAATAAAAATAAATTATAAAAAAAAGATAATTTGATATTTTAGAGGGATGAATGCATCCATTCGTTCTCCTTCGGTCTATCCTTCCTAATTATTATTGTCAACTTCATTGATTGGACAACTCGGACTTGGAATGAAGGGTTGGTTCGGTCCGAGGTGGGTGAATCGGATATTTGATTTTGGATTAATGAATGCCATGACATTGGCTTTTGTGGTGGTATTCATCTACACACTATTTGTGGTCATTCTCATCCCCTTGAAGACGCTCTCCGTATGTTTCGGCATTTGTGTCCAAATGTACAATGTGTTTTTGCTAACCACTGCTTTGATTGTCTTATACAGATGCCGATGTGGAGAAACAAGTTTTGTCAGGAAAATGTTGGTCCGAATTTTTAGTTCATCCCTCAATGGCTTTGGCTCGCCGCCCACTGCGTTTTATTGCTTTTGCCAGTGTCCCACTAATGGGTAGATGGAGAATGCCACATGCAGACCTTCTATAACTTAAAAAGTTGGTGCAGGTTTTGTAATATAGCGGGCCTTGCAGCTATTATTTGAGATGAATATGGTAAATTTGTTGCTGTAAAAACATGATTAGGTCTATTAAACGAGGTTGGTCGAGCGGATAGTTTGTTCGTGGACACTACTATTAATTAGATATACAATGATGAATAGAATTCCTCTGCCCCATTTTATGTCTCTATATATATGTCCCCGCCACTTATGTTATGACATGTGTATTAGTTATAAGTTCATCATTTTCTTTATTTCCTTCTTTTCATTTAATTTTTTACTTTCTTATTAAATTACTATTAGTTTGTTACTATTTTTTAAAATTTTCAATAATATTTTGTTAATTTATTTTTTAAATTGTTCTCTATGTATTATTAAACTTGATTTTTTTTAAAATAAATCATTTATAATAATTCAATTGAATTAATTCTATTTATATTTTTTCATTTTGATTTTAAGGTTTAGGGTTTAAGTTTGAATTTAGGGTTTTGATTTATGGTTTAGGATTTAGGGTTCAAGGTTTAAGATTGTAGGAATTTAGGATTCAAGTTTTATGGTTTTAGGATTTAAGGTTTAGAGTTCATGGTTTAGGGTTTAGGGTTCATTAAATTAAATTAAATAAATTAAATTCACTTAAATTAACAGAATATTGCTGAAATTTTAAAAAATATTATCAAACTAATGTTGATTTTGTTTTAGTAAGAAAAATAAAAAAAATTAATGACAAGAGGGAGATAAAGAAAATGATAAACTTCTTTAATTTTCTAATATATCATTCATACATGTGTCATAATATAAGTGGTGTGACATATATAAGGACATAAAGTGGGGGCAGAGAAATTGTATTCATACAATAATACAATATTGAGTTTGGCGTTAATATAGTTAGAGAGATTATTAGAACTACTCGAATTTGATTGTATTCAAATTAAAGATTAAAGAAATTATAAATGATAACATACATGTTTAGTATCTTAATTATCACTTTTATTTTGTTTTGATAACTCAACTATTTTTTAAATCATATCTAATGTTTAGTTTTGGTTTCATTTTGGTCATCATAAGATAATATCACATCATCATTCAAAAAAAAAATAATGTAATGTCAACAATTTTGTTAATTTTTTAACAGTGGGTGAGTAAAATAAAACCAAAACATAACATTAGGTATGATTTTGAAAAAAATAATTAGGTGACTAAAACATAACAAAAGTGATAGTTGAGGTACTAAACGTAGTTTATTATATTTTATGTTGAATGAAATTAGAAAATCTATTTTGAGAAGATTTATAGAGAGATTATATGATAAGGATTACATGACAAGTTATTTATGAGAATTCCTCGTATATTCTTCTATTTTTAACATCAGTAAAAGTTTTTCACGTAAAATTTTAGCATCTTTTTTTATGTATGATAATTATCATTATCTTCAAACATATATCTAGACTATTTTATGTTTTTTTCACTGCTCCATTGTATATTCCATTTCGTGTTCTATCACATCTATTTTCAATTATTTGTTTTGCTACCAAGTGGCTAAAGTCAGTATCTTAGCATTAAATATCCCCAGACCAATCTAACATATATTCAATGTTTTCATCTGCAATTCCATTTGCCGATCCACGACTTTTCTTTTTTTTCTTCTTCCCTTTTTTCTGTCGTTTGCATCTGAATTCGCATCAAAATGCTTACTTTAGCCACCATCTTTGGTTTGCTAGGTAATACAAAATAACTCTATTTTTATCTTTAGATTCATCAAGATGAACAAATCCCAGAATGAATGAATGCTGCACGCATGCAAAATATCAATGATTTCTTATGACATGTTTTTTTTCCAGGTAACATTACCACTGGTCTGGTTTACCTTGCACCAGTGTAAGCTGAGAAAATTTTCAGTTTTAAAGATCATGATTCACTTAAACCTGTAAGAACCATGTGTAATTTGTTTCTTGAATCATTTGATTGTCGTCGTCGTTTTTCAGGAACACTTTCTGGCACATCATACAAATTGGATCAACCGAAGAATTCGATAGTCTCCCGTATGTTGCGAAACTATTAAACGGATGCATGTGGGTTTATTATGGAGTTGTCAAGCCTAACAGTGTTCTTGTTGCCACTGTTAATGGCTTTGGTGCTTTACTCGAACTCATATATGTTATCATATTCCTAATATTTGCGCCTCCAAAAATGAGAGTAAGTTTTAATTTAACTTTATAAATAGTTTTTTTAAATACTCAAAACCTTATTGAAAACGGAGCCTAAATGATTGAATCTAAAATCGAAAATCGAAAATCCAACTAGTTTTGTTATAATATTTTGTTGGGAAAATGTAAATTTCAGGCCATAACTGCCATACTTTTTGGGACTTTGGATGTGGTGTTCCCAATAGCAACCGTTGTGATAACTCAGATGTCTTGTAATAGAGAAGTGCAGATCAGTATTGCAGGCTTCTTGTCTTTACTTTTTAGTGTTGTTACCTATGCTTCACCTCTCTCATCATGGTAATAGTGTTACAATTCCAAGTTTCCAGTAATTAAGGACGGACGAGAATTTTATATTAGGAGTAAATTATAAAATTTTAGATACCGAAATTATATCATTAAAGGAAAATAAAAAAATAATTAAATTATTTAAAATTTTCAGTGGTGACAATAATGCTTGTATTTGTTAGTATTAGTTATGGTTACCTGTGAAGTGCAGAAAACAGTGGTGACAACAAAGAGTGTAGAGTACATGCCTTTCCTCTTATCTTTCATACTCTTCATCAATGGATTAACTTGGACAGTTTATGCTGTGATTACTCGAGACTGGTTTATCGGAGTAAGTTCTTATTCACAATCCTCCTTTATTATTTACTGGGTTCTACATATCTGTCCTGAATATTTGTTGGTAAAAATACTGCTGTAAAATAACATAATTAGAATTGACTACCATAAAATTATAATAAATAAAGAAAGAAACGAAAAAATTACTGGATTCTACGTATCTGTCGTGAATATATAATGTCGAGACTAACAGATGTGATTTTGGGTGTAGATACCAAATGGAAGTGGATTTGTTTTTGGAACAGCTCAGTTGGTGCTGTATGCAATGTATTGGAGACCTAAGCAATCAAAGAAGACGTTAGATCATGTGGTGGAAGAGGGGTGCCCAACTGAGCATCTCCTGGACCACTCTGGTCCATTGCTACACAAATATGAGAGCAGAGCTGTGGCCTAATCTCATTTTGCTCCATATCGAAAATAACTAAGAAAACCAAACGATGCAAAACGTGAGGGTTTTTCGACTATTCGACCAATAAGATCTTTCATTTCGTGTATCGGTATCATATTTATGTATTTTTTTAATATTTGTATCGTATTTAGAATCATGTTTGAGATATTTTACCTTTTATTTGAGGCAACAGTTATTGAAAAACTTGAAATGAACATCTGAATGGTCCAATCTCTTTTCTTTTATGTGGCGTGTTAAACTATCATGCTTTTGGTTTGAAGAACACCATACAATCAGTTTAAGAATAATTTTATACTTCCATGGATTTGCAGGCAGCTGGTACGGTAAATCTCTAAATGTACCTCTTACTTTCTCTGAAGCAAACATTACGACCGAGTAAGAGAAAACCGAAACTGAAATCTTATTTTCAACAAGAGAAAAATACGTACATTGTCATTCTATACATCTTATCCCATGATGATAAAGTCATATAGACAAAAGTACAGATTGCATTGCAAAACAAAAGCAGCAAACTCTAATTGACATTAGATTATAAGCTTGAGCAGTACACTAAACAAATATCGATTCGTCGTAGAATAATAGGTCACCGAAGAGGCTCACATCTCACATGTCATGAGGAGGAGGAGCGCTCCTAGGTCCAATGTTGCTCCCGGCCTTTTCGTATGCGTCCGATGTAGGCCTTCTCCAAAACCAAAACGACTCTTTGCCTCCTGTAGAACATGTCATCCGTGATAATGATTTTAGTTCGATATTTATATGTTTTATCAATTTGATTTGTTTGGACACGAGAGGACTAAAACACGAATAGGGACAATGCACTTAAAAGTAGGGCAGTAGGGCAAGGACATTCAAAAGTCCAAAAACTTTAATAATGGTACAAAAAATGAAGTAAAGTTACTTGACATAAAATTCCTACATAAAAGAAAACCTTAACGTTACATATAATTTTGATTTTGGCGTCAAAATATGTAGATTGTTGTAACATTATAACCCCCCCCCCAAAATTAAAAATATTACTTTTAACCTACCGAATGGACCAAACTAGGGCATATAAGTTCCTGAAATCATTAGTTCTTTGAATGATTATACGTCAACGAGGACTTTATTGTCATTTTACCACACCCAGGACAAAATACACGCTTGCGTCCACCTAATGTTGCATTGATCTTTATCCATCGAGGAAACATACAAAGTTACCAAATGACATAACTACCCTCCTAATGTCCGCTTATCAGATAACACAAATTACATTGACCGATTTACCCTTGGAGTCTTCGACAGTCCACCTTTCCGGGGAGGACAGTTCTGTGGTTTACGAAGTAAATCACGGACACATTCGACAATCATAGAGGATTTTTTTTTGCATATATATTACTAGAAAAAGGAGATACCGGAGGAGTAGATTCGGCCGGGGAAACCGGAGGCGATCCGCTCTGGTAACGAGGCGATTTTATGATCATCATCGAACGTGTCACTTTCGTAGTTTTCTCCGACAACGTTTCAACACTGAACGGTCTCAGACTCCCGCCATCGGATTCTGTTCATTCACATCGTCGAACCAAATTGAAGAAAATAAGATGATGAGTTTGAAAAAACCAATAAAATCTAAACCTGCTGACTGAAGAAAAATAAGGTTTGGTTTTCGTAACGATTTTTCTTTATCGGTAGCTGCTCGACAGTTCAATTCAACGCTTTTTCAATTACTTTTGGTGACAATTTCCATTGCTTTTACTGATATATAAGTGGCCTAACTAAGCGTACCATTGGAGGATTTAGGCCGGAAAGTGAAAGAGGAGTGCTTTCGGATCTTGCCGAGACCGTCATCAGGTAGAGGACCCGCAACAGTGTCGTCCCACAACTGGTCAAGTAGCCCCATAATGATCAGAAGCTGGACAGGAGATCGGATGGATAGGTGACTGAACGGAGATATTTAAGGATGAAATGAGGGGAGTTAAAGGTCGAACAAGTTAGGATAAACTTACACCGTTGGTAGATCAGAGGAAAAAAGTAACTACATCGCAAATGAAAGGAAGGCGCGTGGTTGGGGATAAGATCAGGTGGGACCAAAAGTGTCTAACATCACTTTAACTATCACTGTCACGTGACTAGGTCATCTTCTATGAAGTTCAAGATTGAAATATCTAAAATGTCCTTAACTTTCCATTTGGATTGCAAAAGGTTTAGGTGTGTTTGATTCACGTAATGTTACCAGTGGGAATAAAAGATTACCAGAGAATAAGATTACTGGGAATGTTGTATTTTGTGTTTGGTTGGTTTAGCAAGAATGTAATAATACCGTGTTTGGTTAAAGGAATAAAAGATTATTGAAATATATATTTGACTAAATTGTCCTTATTATATATTTGTATAATATTACAAATTGTAAAATATTTATATATTTTCTTTAAAAAATTAAATTCATAATATTTATATAATTTTTTTATAAAATTAAAAATATAAAAAAAGTTTAATGAAAGGGTAAATTTTTTTTAACCCCTGAACTTCATATAAAATTTTAATTATAGATTTTTTTTATGAATCTAAAATAATTGAAGGATAAATTTGTAATTTAACCTTCGTAAATTTTTTATTATTCAATGACAGAAGAATGATATTTTTGAAAAAAAAAATAAAAATTTAAGGGTATTTTAGTCTAAAATGCCGGTAATTTTACAATACCTAAAGGAAGTGAGATAATGATATTCCCGGTAATATACCCTAAAAAATCTACTATTGGTAATAAAACATTACCGGAAATGAGATTCCTGACTAACCAAACATGATAATGTAGGATTCTCATCCCATGAGAATTCACAATCCTTGAACCAAACACCCCTTAGGATGTTTAAAAGAAAACAAGACAACATAACTTAGGGTTATATGATTATATCCATAGCCGCCTTGGCACACTTGAAACAGTAGTGGTCATTATTAACTTCTCTCCTGTATCATATATCATTAAAGGTTAATATATATTTTAATACCTAAATTTAAATTTAAAAACATTAAGTATTGACGGTACCTTTTTTATTATCGTTATAGTTATTAAAACATTTAGAAATGATGTCACCTCGGCGACATATGGTTCTAATTTCAGTACGTTATACCTAGACCATGTTCACTCTAAAACAATGGATTCATTGCAAACGGTTATTATTTCATTATTTAAGATTTTTTTGTAGATAAGTTGGATCACTTTTTGATTAAAAAAATTATTAAGAAATTATGCTGCCAGGTCGATTTCTTCTGTCATTGTCTAAAGAGATTTGAAGTCGAATTGATTCCCAAAGGCACCCAAAATCTTTGGCAAAATGGCTGGGAAAATGACTTTGGGAAAAATCATTCCTAAATCAATCTAACCTGAAGATTATTTCCTCATCTAAGGTGTCATCTATGGTGTCATCTATGGTGTTATCTACAGTAATCCGACGAAGACGCCAGGGGTTCTACGCATCTTCATAAACCCCCGGGAGTACATGACATCTTCAAGCTAAATATGCAGTCATGAAATCTTTAAATTTGACTTGAAGACGCATACAATCCCGAAGTCTTCTAAAGATGCATAAAACGCCTGATGTCTTTACGTTGGTATTGTTGAATTTACTCTAAATAAGTTGACTTATATTGGGTATTCTTTTTCCCAATCACATTCACTCAGCCATTTTGCCCAAAATCTATACTCGACAACAACAATTTTCATGCATATAGCTTTAAGAAATTATATTGACAGACGCTAGCTACTAAACACCAAATAATAATAATAAAAAGAGTAACAACATTTCACCTAGTTCGGAAAATGAAAGAAAAGACAGTTATATTCTATAAATAACATGAACATTTGCCAAGTGGCTAAAAATTCAACCAAACAATATGATAATACATGTTTAATACAAATTGGAATTAGTCATCCATCAATAGATGGAAAAAAAATACTTTGTTTTCTGTAAATTGCTCAGATGAAAACTTAATCTCAATCCACTTAGAAGCCCCGCATTTATGTTTCATGTAAATAAGGTAAATAGTTGAAAAGAATGTAATGAGGAATGGGGCAAAATTAATCAAGAGTAATCTACTCTTTGTGCGAGTATGGAAGGTACTTTGCATATGGATCGGGTTTCGGCTTGTTCCTGTGATCATAATATTCAACTACTGCAGCACCAGCTAGTGCAGCCAATGTAAGGGCTTGTGCGTGCAACCTGAATTGAAGGCAGATGACAATGATTTACCAATAAGGCAAGGTAAGTAAAGAGGTATAGACATCGAAAGCTATCAGAAACTGAGGAAGACAAAATGAAAGCCCAGCTCGAACAAAAAGGATGCAATACATATCAAATCAAATAAACCCCTGGAAGAAGCCATCATAATTAAGCAGCAAGAAGATGCAAATGAGTAGAGCATGGTTTAAAGAGGTATCAACCCGACCCCCTATTGAACCATTTTGTCCTCTTTTAGGACAAGAGGCAGATTATGCAAACATCAATTTTGCAACAAACACAAAATAAATGTGCCACTAAAAGAAGGTACATAATAAGCAATATGATAATGGAAAAGAAGAGTAAAGCACAGTTTAAAGAGGTATCAATCTTTCACATGAAAAAGGAGTAAGGACATAACTACTATTTTGTAAACCCTTGAAACCCCCCTCTGTACCTCCCCTCCCCCACAAAACACCACGTTTTAGGCATAAATGACTACGAGGTACACATATAATAGTCTTCAAGCAAACTTGCAGAATAAAACAGAAGGTATCACATAAAGCTCAAGCAAAGTAACATGCAGCGGTATTTTCAGTTGCATGAGTAAAAAGAGAGAAATTCTGTTTTGTAAACCCTTGAACCCCCAAAACCAAATTCAACCATTTTTGTTCTTTTGAATCATTTTGGCATAAAAGACTAAGAGGTAAGCATATACCCTTCAGGCAAACTTCAATAATAAAACAGATCATGTCACATAAGTTCAATCAAAATAACATGCCACGGTAGTTTCAGCATAACTTGGAAAAATCCCCTCATAATGAACCAAGGAAAATCATTCCAGCCGTTCAAATTCAATTATTGTTCCACCCCACTAAAGAAACGATTTTCTAATTACAGTTTTAATTAATCAAATATCATAAATTTCTGCAAAAATCCTAACGAAGCAAATGACCACAATTCCACTAAGAAAGTTGGAAGGGAGACCCTAAAAGGCCCTAAAACCCTTTTTAGCGCATAAGACAAGACTTAATAGGTCAAGACTTAGGAAGAATTGGGGAAGCGGGAAGTGGGGATTGAACCCCAACCTTGCCGGAATCCAGGTCTTAAAGGACGTGGATGAACCATTTTGGAATACATCCCTCACACCAAATTTATATCTGGAAACCACTATGGAACAAGAGATCAAATTCAGGCCCCAAATATAGCACTATTTGCATCACCTAGCACAGATGGTTGATATACATGCCTTATCTAATCGAAACCAACAGCTAGAAACATTAATAATCAATCATTTATGACCCAACACCAAAAGGAATGGAGGGATGATTTGAAACCCTATAAAATTCTCAAACACGCAATACAAAAGCACAGTTTTATATCTTCTTTCAAGCTTGCAGAGGAAACTTGTCATTACTTTCTAATACCTTTTGCATGAATCAAGGAAAGACATGCAAATTACAATAACCAAACAAAGGAAAAATAAATGGAATTTTAATAAAATGATTTACCTTGCGTGAATGATCTTGACGCTGGTTTTCATGTTAGGTCGAGACCAATTGTAAGCTATGGAACTCCCAATTCCGCTAAGCCACAAACAACCTTTTATTTGAAACAAACCCAAACAAATTAAATTAAGATCCTACCAAAAGGAACTCATGAATATATCCAGGAAAAAATAGAGATCAAGGAAAAATAACTACCAACAGTTCTAAGCTTGTGATCAACAACCCATTCCCTCATGGATTCAAACTTGCTCTTCGATTCCGCCATTATTTTGGAGAGAAAATAAGCCTTCCCGAGAGAAACGGAAACAAAAGAGTGAAACAATATAGAAATATTTTCAGTTTATATATAAAAGAGAAGGCAAAGCGAAATTGGCGACGAAGAAAATAAAAATGTGGGCGGTGGAAAACCTAGGAGCGTGTTAGTCTGTTCAACTATGTAGGCTTCTAAAGTAACTTAAAACACACGAAAGAATCATGTCATTTAATAAATTAATGAATACGAGAAATTTTTTTTGGTCATGTTTGTTGATTAAGAAATATAGTTTGTTTATGTTCGTTCATTTAAATGATAAACAAACATAAACTAAAATAAATGAACGAACATAATAAATTAACATGAACGAACATAAAAAAAAAACTTATTCGAATACAACAAATAAATGTAAAAAAAATTAAAAAAAGAATAACAATTTAAAATTCATTAATATAACTTGTAGCTTTAAGGTTAATTTGTTCGAATACGACAAAAACATACATAAATCATAAATAAATTATATGCACATAATAAAGTCTTAAAGTTAATTTGTTCAACAAAACAATCTTCTTGAAATCTAAACAACTTCAATAATCTTTGTAATATATTCAACTTGTCCTCTGTTCGAACATAAATAAACGAACGTTCACGAACGTAAATGAACAAACGAGCGTTTTGTTCGTGTTCGTTCATTTAATTAAACGAACGTAAAATCTTATTCATGTTCGTTCATTTAATAAATAAACGAATATAAACGAACTTCCAACTACACGATTCATAAACGGTTGGCTGAACGATAATTCATTTACATGCCTACGACTATGTTAACTAGTTTCCTACGTGATTTGACTCTACCACGACCACGTGGGATTTCTAATATTTTTTCCTTTTTTTTAATATAACAACACAAACATTTTTTTAAAGATAATTTCATAAATATATAATTTAAATTATAATGTTTTTATGACAAAAAATATTTCAAAATAATGAAAACTCTTTTATAACAATATTTTTTTGATAAGTATTGTGCATATTATTTAAGAAATAAAAATCTGTTAAAAAAACAATTAACAAAGCAGCCATAAAAAAATGAAGAAATCTCCAAAGGAAAATTTCTCACCTAGTAAAAGATCTCTATTTACATCATCAACAACATATATAACTCTGTTACTGAATTTAATCCTAACAGTTTTCCTAACAATATCCAAGACTCAAAGCTGATTCCTACTGATACCGTTAAAAAGCTTACCATTTCTTTCTTCCTAAATACAATAAACAAAAGCATCCATTGTTAATTGTTATCCTAAGTATGACAAAAACTAAGAATTTATCCTGAAAATAGCATGCTTTGAGATATGGGGAGGAATCCAGAAAATTCTATATCACAGACCCCAATCGGATGAATCTTTGACCGAATTCATCTAACTTTAATGACACAAAGATCAACATAAGAGGTAAAAAGGGATCAAGCCCTAGTCTTAAGGCTCAACATTTTCTTCAAACTTCAATTAGCATTAAATCTGCTCTCAACCTATCAGAATTTATCCTCTTTGAAAACATAAGTTTTGATTCAAGCTATGTATATGGAATTGAATTAAATCTTTAAAAATTGATCGATGAATCACTCAGATTCGAGTTTAGGTTAAAAATTATTGAATTTATTGATATGAAATAGTGATACAATTTTATATATTTAAGGTAAACTGTAATAATACTTTTGTATCTATATTTCTTCAATTCGGTCTCTAATATAATAAATAAAAATAATTTTTTTATATATGTTTGTGTCAAGTAAAATCAAATTGAATGTCGGTTTTTTACTTACAATTTTGAATCAAATTTTAAACTTAAATAGATGAAATAATGAATAAAGATATATAATAATTGAGTCGGGTTTGGATTAACAAAGATATGACCCGACCCCTAATTATAATAGACAATAACGATAAGAGGAGCCCAATAGGCGACTGGAATTGGGTCAGTAAGCAACCAATATGTAATTTTCAGAACAATTAGAGTATCGTAAAACCGTAACGCAGTATCATCATAAAATCCAACGGTTGAGAATGTGTAAACTCTATAAGACAAAAAGAATCAAAACAGGAATACCGAACACGTGACATGAACGTAGGAAGAAACTAGAAGTCTAGAATCCCTCCTTCTAAAAGCCACAGAAGCCTTCCAGAATACTCTAGTTTCCTTTGAAACCAAACTTCCCTCAATCTTTCACCATTCTCTCTCAGCTCTCTCTTCCAAGGTAACTATTACATTTTTATATTCAATTTTATTTATATCTTTGTGTGTAATCATCTTTATTTAATGGCGATTGAAAGATGCTTGATTGTTTTTCTTGATAATTCTCAGGATTAGAGAACTCTTATTGTTTGCAATTGAAGTTTTCTCGAGATAAATTTATATATCTTAAATTGAGTTATGTTTCAGGGAAAATGGGTCGTTCAAGCCGCACGCTCTATGTAGGCAATCTGCTGGTGACACTCGCCTCAGAGAAGTCGAAGATTTATTTTACAAGGTTTTAATTTCTTTTCTTTTTCTTGCTTTCTCTTTCTTAATTTTTTTTATATACTTTTGTTCTTGATTATTTAGTAAATATATTATGCAAGCAGTACTACAATGTAAAAGTGTCTCCGTTGTTTTTATAGTTACGTTTGTGGATTGCTGAGGTATTGCGTATGATTATATACTTGGGGTGAAAAAAGATTGAAGGGTTTCTATATTAACTTTAGCTTAAAACTACAAGAATCAGTTTCCAAATGATTGTTCAATCAATTTTTTTCTTAGAAAAGGAGTTGATTTGTTTGTTGCTTTTGCGTTTTTGTGTTTATATACTGCAGTATGGGCCCATTGTTGATATTGACTTGAAGATCCCACCAAGGCCGCCTGGTTATGCCTTTATTGAGGTAAGGTTTCGTACTTTGTTATTATGGGGCAAATAAAGAAGAAATCATTATTTGAGTTTTAGTATTATAAATGGATAATTGCAGTTTGAGGATCCTCGTGATGCTGAAGATGCAATTCGTGGTCGAGATGGGTACGACTTTGATGGCTACTATTTACGGGTTGGTAGTTAATCTTGCCTTGTATGGTTGTTCCTGCCTTCAGGTTATAGTCTATTTTCAGTTTAAGAACTTTTGACTCAAACCACGTGTATTATGTTCTGTATTTTAGGTTGAACTTGCTCATGGTGGTCGAAGGCGGCCTTCATCTTCTGTGGATCGCTATAGCAGTTACAGTGGTAGCAGTAGCCGCGGGCCTTCCAAGCACTCTGACTATCGTGGTATGTATAGCCTTTGACAACGTTGTTGAAGTTTGCCAAACTGCTTGCTGATTAAGTTAATCTTATTATCACTTAATATGCAGTTCTGGTGACCGGTTTACCTTCTTCTGCCTCGTGGCAAGACCTAAAGGTGAGTTGTTTAAGTATTCTTTCTTCCCTAGTTGTTTCAATTTAGTCAAATTATATAACCAGTACATAAATGATGAACAATAAAATTGTAGTAGAGTTCCTCAATTATACACCATATGAAAGAGTAACCTAGTCTTTGCTTAATGGTTTTCAAAATGCATATAAGTATGCTGGTCATTTTATCTGGTTTATGCTGTTAAATGGTCTTTGATTTATTACTAGGATCACATGCGCAAAGCTGGGGACGTTTGTTTCTCTCAAGTGTTTCGTGATCGTGGAGGTAAGAAAAATCCTTAACATGTCATTTCATTCATCAATTTGTCATCCCATATGTATCAGTTAAAATAGCTTAGATTCTTGTAGGATACTTAACACTGAATAGCTCGTTTTGAGAATGCTGGGTCTATATACTATACAGCCTGGGAGGAGATCTGTGATTGTAATGTGACCAGTGGATTGGAAACTGTTGGGACAGCCAACTGTTTCCTAGGTTTACAGATGAAATTCCATGCGTTTATTTTCAGTGATGCATTGCAAGTGTGCACCTGCACTTGATTGCCTTCTAGATTACATTTAATCAACAGTTACCTTGAAAAAAATTATATGCGATGTTATATAAGTACCATTGCAATTTCTTTGCAGGCATGACAGGGATTGTAGATTACACGAACTACGATGATATGAAATATGCTGTAAGCTGCTTTGCTTTAAACCTTGTCACATTTATGCTTTCGGTTGTTTATGTGAAGTTGTGTTTTGTCGAGTGTTTTAACCTGCTTTAATGAGTTCTATTTGACCTGAAGATAAGGAAGCTTGATGACTCTTTGTTTCGGAATGCATTTAGCCGGGCTTACATACGGGTATTTATGATGCATATTTAATTCTAGGTCCATGCTTGTGCAAAACTACTTGATCAAGTATCTGTTTTATTCAGGTGGAGGAGTATGATTCGAGATATGATTCTAGGCGCAGCTACTCCAGGAGTCGTAGTCAATACAGTCGAAGCCCTAGTCGCAGCCACAGTTATGGTAGCAGGAGCAGGAGGTCAGTCTTCATTGTTTAGTGAAAATAGCAGTTAGGATATTTATGTTTCACTCCTTATTCAAATTACCTTATTTGACCTATTTTACAGCAAGTCTCCGAGGGCAAGATACTCAAGCCGGTCTCAACCTGTATATAGGTCTGTGTCACCGCATTCCCGTTCTATGTCGCCACGTTCCTGTTCTGTGTCACCAGCCCGCTCCTATTCAAGGTATTGCACGATTGTATTTATTATTTCTTCCTTTGCATGTTGTTGATGTTTTTATTCTCGACTGTTTTTTAATGGCTTTATCCTTTTCTTCTGCTAAATGCAAAAATTGCTTTCACGCTTGTTTCAAATTCACTTCTTTTTCTTTGACCACTTTTATTTCATCAGAATACTTCAGTGTTTGATACTGTTCTTAAGAATCTTGAGGTGCATTTTTCATGCTCTTCGTGCATGGTGTAATATTTTAAAATCTGCTCAGAACTTGATTGAATGTCAGCTTTTGGCTTAGACAAAGAAAGGTTTGCTAACCTCAGATATTGTGTAGACAGCGAATTGCTTATACCTTTCCATGTATGAGCCTCCTTAAAGTAGCTAAAAGTTTATCAGATTGCATGTTACCGCTTTCAAAGTTTTAGTCAATGCCCTATAGGAATGCTCAGCTACCTATTGTTATCAGTTGCTTGTGGGGGTTCGTGGTTTCAGACTACGGATGGTGTGTTTATTCACCCACTGTCATTTTCACTATTAAATTTTGCTTTATAATTTTAGGGGTTGTTTGTTTACTTCAGAATGATTAAGCGCTGAATGATTCAAATGCTGAATGATTTATAAGTTCTGTATGAATTAACTCTGAATGTGACATGTTGTTTGATAATGATTCTGAATCATTCAGAATGTACTTTGTGTGAATCATTCAGAATCACTCAATTAGCACTGTTTTGCTGAATCAGTCAGTACTGAATCATTCAGAGGTGAGAAACAAACAGTTTGAATGCTGAACAATTCAACATTTAGCGTTGAATGATTCTATACAGAGCCAAACAAACAGTTCTTTCGTCTCAAGTAAGGATCCAAGGTTTTTCTAATCTATCTTTATCACGTTGAATGCAAGATAAAAGTACTATTGATGTCTTCTACTCTAATAAAATTCCCGATTAGAAAGCTCTTCATCATTCCGCATTGTGTTTTGTTTTGTGAACCCTTAAAACTCTTTTATCAGTTTGAAGTTATAAAATCCAAACTGGTGGGGTAATTAAGAAAAAGGTTTACTTGGTTCACCAGCTTTCATTCCTTTTCATAAGGTCTGCCTTGTTTCCTTGCTAGATATGGCAATTTGCAGTCATCTGGGGATGGGATGTTAGGAACCTGATGGGGTGTGGTGCTCAAATGCCTGCAACTCATTTCTTGTTGAGGTAATTCTGTTGTTGTCGAGCACCTAAGGAATCTGTTAAAAGGCCTAAAAGTTCTTAAATAAATTGTGATTTATGGAACACAAAGCTCGACCGGATCAGAATAAATGCAAGGGTGTTGCAATTTAAAAGCCAAATCACTTTGAAATAAATGGTTTTAATTTTGTTACTTCATTCTCCACAATCAGGGAATATGACACAAACTTGGGACTCCATCATCGTCTAATTTGTGCAAAGGAATGTCTTTGGTGATAGAGAATTGGAGGATGCTCTTCATTGTTTTAAGTATTTATGCATTTTCATTGCTCTACTGATTTCTTATGATATAATCCATTTTTATGATTATGCTTAATCCGGGGTGAAAGCGATGCCTTGGGGCCAAAGTAGAAAATTGTTGTGGATATTTTCTTAATTGCTGCTGGAACTTTTTGCAGATCTTACTCCAGCTCCAGATCACCAATTCCATCTGTAAGTCGATCTAATTCAGGTGTAGTTATTTCAATTTGTGAGGGAGGTTTTATCAAGCACGGTGTTTTGCAATTATTTGATATGCAGCCTCATAGTAAAAATGTGAGAAGAACCCCACCAAACCGCAGGAGCAGGAGCCGGAGTTGCAGTTTATCTCGTTCTCGTTCACCATCTGTAAGTTACTTGAATCTCTTTCCCCATTCCCATAGATTCTTACCGTTGCTATCTCCTTGCATGATTCCGATAAATGCCTGATCTGTGGTTGGTAGGTGAAATCTTATTGAAGCTGGATTGAGCTGTTGCGAGGATCATAAGGTTACATCTTTATAGCAGATTGTAATATTTTGTTAGCTTGAATGGCGGGTTACTTGTCTAAGGATTAGCATTTATATTCACATTTAGTTTTCAAACCATGGCCGTGGATCAAACGTCAACTGGTTCATCATTATGGCTTAGACTTGATGATTTTGCATGCTTGAACATATCTCTTATATGAAATCATCTTTTCTAATAAGATATTCTCGATGCAAATCTTGTTTTTATGTAGAAAAATCGTTTAATAAGTGAATCAATGGAACGTATCATATTCCGAATTAATTGTTTTTAAAAATATTGTTAATTCACAAACTAGAAATTTAATTGAACTTATGATTAAAAGTAAAACTTGGCCGAGTTGGGTAAAACAACTGCAGCGGAAGTAAATCCTACATGCTAAAATGGTTCCATGGACTCACTCAGATTCATTCAATTCAACCACGTGCAAGTGCAAAGCAATGCTTAATACGGTTATACCATCCAACATTTCTTAAAATATTTTATTTGACATGCCTCAAAGCCAAAGGAAGCAAAGGAGGAAGCCACGTCCAGCACAAACACCGTGCAGCTACCGAAATTATTGATTCCGAAGCCGCATTCAAAGTTTTTCAGCCTGCGAGGATCGACAGTTTCAAGCACCATATATCTATCTCTCAAAGCACACATAACCTTTTTAGTTTCATTCATGGTAGGGGTAGTTTTGCTTCACCCAGTAAGGTTGTAAAATGCGGAAAGATCAGCTATGAATGATCTTGTCATTGCATCCTCTCAGATCCGTGCCTGTGGCGAAAGCTGATGGATCTCACACCGGGATCTGATGCACCAGCAGCGGATTGATGGAATCTGCCCCAACTGGGTTCTCTGTCAACCTGGTTTAGTGAAAATGGAGGGAAATGATCTCTTTCCCATCCATGGAACCGAGTCGGTAGAAGATTTTCTGCCTCTGGAAAGTTACGGCCAGATGGAATGAAATAGAAGCCACCCACCTGGTCAGATGATGAGGCTGCTGACCCAGCTTGAACATGACTTCTATGACTGCTTGATCTTCGGGAGCTGGAAATAATGGGTGTCCGTATGCCTGGCGAAGTGCTAGGATGTTGTGGTTGATAGTATGCCTGGAGAGCCTGAACTCTATCACGGGCTCGAGCATTACTACCAGGGTAAGGATGGATCAACGTGGGAGCAACTGAACTCCCTGCTCTTGCACCAGAACTGCAGAAACACAGCAATTGAATTAAACTAATTGGCAAAAAAACCACCTTCCATATGATTATATCTATATAATTTAGAAAATGTGACCATGAGTAAAATGTTCTCTTTTCTGAGTGATACTTAAATCTGTGATAAAGAAAGCAGCAGTCGTAAAAATCGAACTTTATGCTTTTGGAAACGTGTCTCATTTCAGCACTTTTAGGGAATGAGTAATTCTTTTGAGGGAAGAGATTGTAGATGTTCTCTAGGAAATGGTTGCGGAACAAAATGGTAAAATGTTCAGCATATTTTTTTAGTTTCCATAAAGTAAAAAAATAAAAAAAAAACTCTGATCACATCACAAATGACAATCGCATTGAGGAATACCTGTGGCCAACAACAAATGGAAGCATAAAAGATCCTGGTCTTGGCATATCAGAGCTGCTCCTGGTAGACCTTTGACTGATAGGCAGATTTGAAGGTTGATCGGAATTACCAATTCGACTGCTTGATGTGGAGAACGGAGGAGAATGATGCTCCCAGCTATGATAATGGAGATCCATGGCAGGAAAAGCATAAGATGTAGGTATCTCACGAGGCACTGATGGACCATTCCAGTGACCGTTGAAACTAGAACTATCTGGAACATTTCCACTGGAATTCGAGGATGAGGGATGAATAGTTGGCCCGAAGTAAGCAACATAAGGACATGGATGAGCTGCAGATGCTGAATGTTCGGCAAAGATGGCTTGCGGTCCCAATAACTCATGATCTGCTTTCCAGCAAAACTTATAATTAGTATATTAGGCCAGACAACCACCACAAATAAAACCCACAACACTAGCATTACTCGAAAAACAAGGAAAAATCTTACATGAGATTGATGAAAACTCTCCTACCCTGAAAAAAAAAACAGGGAGGAAAAAGAAATGTTAAGGAAAGAAAATAATTGAAACCTGAACAAGGCAAGAAGAAATAGGCAGACAAAATTGTAATGATTTGCGTAAAGGAATAAAAGGGAACGTTATACTTCAGCAGCTTTTTCAACTTAGAATAATAAGGATATCGTAGCTTCCAACAAAATAACAATAGGCTGCACTTAAGCCATGATATTCTATACTCCATAAATTTAAGCTAATGAAATACTTCGGTCCAAAGATGAATCTGGTGCAAAAACCTCTTAAATAATTGGCAAGTCTATGATGCATCCCATATGGAAAGAATTTGCAACTGCCAGAGAAAACCATCGAGATAATTTTTGAAGTTGGGCCACATGACATTAGTTTCAGGCTGTGCATTGTTAAAACAGCTTACATTACGCTCAAGCTGGTGTTATTTAATTGGTAAGGCTAAAGGCGGGTCCACTACTTGCTTGAATTCCAATGCCATTTTGCCATCACAAATAAGAAGCAGAGGATGAATCTTCTCCAATTTGTAAATCAGTATCAACTAAGAAGGTACCAACTTTCCCGTCTCTCTCGAAGTTATTATCACAACGATCACATGCAAAAAGTAAAAGATGATAGATATTGATGTTGAAGAAGAGATGTAGGACAATCACATTTCAGCACTGAAAATTTGAAGCAGAAAATTATTCATGCTTACTCAAATGAAGGAAGTCGTGCTGAGCTTACAAACGGACACCAGTGAACTCCAAGTGACTACAAAAACAATATAAAAAAAGAAGAAAAATAAGTAAGCAGGAAAATATATTTCAATTAGACTTATCTGTAGTAATCAGAAAAATAAATTTCAATTTGAGTCGTCAGTAAGGCTAAAGTGAATGCTCCCATAGAGCCAAAGAAGGCAAAATGCAAATACTAAGTACTAAGATGGATACAAGATCATATGGGTTTTCAAAACAATGATTAGAGAGCAGTGCAACTCAATCCCTAATCTGTCAAATTCCCATTTGGGAATAAATTATTGAACTTAAGAAACGCACTGAATGAAGCCTGGCTCAGCTTTGGTAAAAGAGAATTGGTTCATTAACTATGGGTGTCAAAAATCAAGTTTCACTTACTAAATAACCAACAAAATCGATGGTCATTTAAATTGACATGGCGTGGAGGGTAAGGGATGAGTAATAAGATGGTTAAGCCTATCAAGATGCAGAAAAGAAATATAATTCCAAAAAAGGCAATATAAACCGTTACCATTTCAGAGTAACTTAGATTGTTAAGGTCATCATGTGTCAAATCATCCACATTAAATTCCGTGTAAGAACGGCTACCGTTGGCATAAAGCCATTGACCTTTTTCAATTTTCCTACAATTAGGGCATTGCATTGCACCCTTTATGTTGAATGCTGAACCAATGCAATCTGGTGACAATCATTGCAAACGGTATAAGAATTGATTAGAACCCTTAAAACAGATTTAAAACAATCATGTCCTCGCACCGTTTAACCACCACATCAACAATTATAACATAAAACTTACGCTCAAAGCGTCTATTCCAGTAGCCATTTACCCCATGCTGCAGCCTATGTTACTCGGACTCAGGTGCAAGTGTCGGAGACAGGTATGGCTAGATTTTTCTAAGTTTTTCTATATATTTAGAGGATCCTTAGAGATCATATACCCGTATGCAAGTGTTGGATAAGTGCAGTACATGAAAAATGAAGAGTCCGAGCAACATAGGCTGCTCATCAAATATACGATATAACTGAGCAAATCTGGAGCTCGTATAAACTTTTGCTTCTAATTTGATACCGTGACAAATAGTCTCTAAAGAAGGCAAAAAGTGCAGGTTATTGAAACATCCAAGTTGCATTAGATTGATCCTGGTGTAACGTATTCTTTAAGAAGCTAAATTTGATTTTTCATCTTTAGCTAATAAAACAGCATAAGCAATAGAAAAAGTTCAATCTTTACGATTTCTTTATTTGCATCATCAATCAAAACCAAAATTAAACACGTTCAATAAATCAAATGAGCAAAACTCGAGCTCAGATCTTCCGATCACCGGCCTTTTTTTTTTTTGAGAATGAAAATTCCTTGATAAAATCAGTTCCAAATCAGGACAATTTTGACTTACCCAAATGAAATTGATGCCCACATTGAAGCTTAGCACACGATCGATCCCCATTATCAGTAACCGATTCAAGGCAAATCGAGCATGAAACCAAACCGAACGATTTCCCTCCATTTTCGCAATCAACACCATCGCCTCCATCAGCACCACCAACTCCTCCGTCACCGTCGTCCCCCACCACATCCCCCCCACCTTTACTCCATAATCCCATAATTAATACAGATATAAACTTAAATCTAAAATTAATCCAACCCCAATATCTCAAAACCTAAGTTCTTAAAAAATACACCCTTTAAATCAACCTCCTCCTCTTCCTCCCTTATTACGTACTGGACCTGAGATTTCAATCGGATACAATTAAAATAAAAATGACTCGTCGTCCTAAATTCGTTTTCTGATTGACTAAACAAAAAAAAACACAAATTAGAATTCCCCCCCCCCACACACAAATAAATTTGGAGATGAGAATGAACTGCAAAATAATTTTCTTTTATCCTCTGATTTTTTTTGTTTTCTTTTTATTTATTTTTTTGGGGGTTAGGAGATTTTTATGTTTTTATTTTTATTTTTTTGACTTCCCTCTTTCAATTTCTTTTCGTCCATAGGTGTGGATTACGAAAATAACTACTGTCTGAACAGAAATCATCGAATGGCTTAGATTATTTTTGCACGTCATTTTAACGGACTTGATTGCTTTTGATTGACATTGGTTATTGTAAAAAATTTAATGAATATTTCTCATTTTCTTTATAATATTGCTATCAGTGGGCGATGGTAAATTTTACAGTGCATTACCTTTAATATATATAAAAAAAATTGTTTTTATTTTTTATTATTTAAATAATAAAATCGATAAAAAATTATCTAAAATATTATTATTTTTATATAAAAAATCAATATTTTTTAATATTTTCGATAAAATATTCAACAATAACAAAATCGATAGAAAAATAACAAAACGATAGAAATAATAATGTTACCAGTCATTTTTACCAATTTTATTATTTAAAAAATAAAAAGACTAATAGTATAGCCGTATATTAAAGTTGACCCACGTAATTATTTTCCGTGGGCGAAATTAGATTACCGAAATTAAAATTAGGTGTACTTGTTGTATTTCGTTATAACAGTAGAATTCATCATTTTAAATGTGGTAATATAACATAAAATATTGCATAATAAATAATTATAAAAACAGTCTATCAAATCTATGATATACTGAAAAATTAGAGGTGAGCGTTAACATATATAAGTTTATAATATATAGAATTTTAATTTTTTTTTTAAAAGTTCATCCATTCCTCCTCGATCCATCTCTAATTATGAGTTTAACTTTCTAACTAACATTAACACACATGCTTGTTGAAAGAATATGCTTAATTTGGAGAAGTAGATGGTTATTGAAGAATTCTATACTCTTGATCCTTTGCATTTAATATTCTCAACAATCCCAATTCAAAAATGGAATGAAGTGTCAGTGTTGATCAATCATGCTTTATACAGATTTGGAAGATATTCTTTCCCTATCTTAATATTTTTAAATTTTTTTATAATTTTTTTTTAAATTTTTTTATAATTCTATACATTTTTACCACATTCAATACAAAAAGAAAAAAAAAACATCTGATGTATTCAAGATCTTACACTACAATCCACGTGATATATTAAAATTTTTAATATAAATATATAAAAAATATAAAAGAAAAAGCAGGTTACGATAGGAATTAAAAATGTAGAAATCCTAACTGGCCATACGAGGGGAATATTCATAAACAATACAAAGAGATAATGCATTAAAGGTACAACCGAAAGCAAATATGTAAAGTTTTAATCTTGATAATTGATTTTGTTTATTCAATTTGTCATAAATTAATTTAAACTATATAGTTTTACACAATGTGAGTAGATTATACCTCTTATGTGTTAAAGTTTTACCACTATATATAGTATAATTATCGATATCTCATTTATTAGTTGATTAATCCATATTAAATACTATAAAAGTTCATTGCGATAATAATTTTTTCAACCTTTTTTTCTATTCACAATGTTAGAATGTAAATGTTCGATCTTACCTAGATAACCTAACATCTCATCTTGTTAAATCAATTGATATTTTTTTAACTATTTTATATTTATATTATGTGCTTATTATCAATTACTATAAACATATCACTCTTATTCATTCGTTTATATATTAATAATTTGTTTGATTATATATTATATTCTTTAAAAATAATTTAATGTAGAATTTAGATTATTCGATGTTAAAAATGAGGACATAACAATAAAAATGGATTAATAAAGACATATATAAATTGTAATGTTTAAATAATTTGCGATTCACAAATGAAAATCTTGTAGTTATTTGAATCAAATTAAATAGGGTTTTTTTGAATATTTAATTAATTTTAATATTTGTATAATTAAAATATGTTGTAGATAAAAAAAAGAAAAATCATTACAATAGGATGATATTAATAGAACAAATAAAAGAAAGGGAAATAGATTGGACTCGGATAAGGTAGGACCCAGTTGAAGATAACAAAAGGCAAAAACAAAGCTGAAACTCTGTGAAGAAAGAAAAGGTAACCCACGAGACCAGAGTTTCTCCCTGAAGTGAAAAAGGATTTATTGAACTCACATTTCAAGTGCTTCCCCCTACTCTGCTCACTCATCTGTCCTAAACGTGTCGATGGATTCAAGATTCTATTCCAAATTTACCCTTACTCCATTATTCCATCCCTATTTTACCCTGCCATTTTTTCATTGATATAAAGTTAAGACCTATTAGATCATTCTTGTATTTTTTATTACACTAATCACCCTAAATTAATAAAAGAAAATTTAATATAATATTTTGATTATTTTTAATAATAATAATTGTTTGGATAATATTAATACTTCTTAAAGATTAAAGTTTACATTTATTGAGCAGTCTTTTAAAATTTAGATTAATTTGTTATTATTTTTATTTATTAAGGATGAGGTTCTAAATTTAAGAACTTGAAAAATTAATCTTTAATATATTCATATATGAGTATAAATGATATTTTTTAAATCTATTTAAAAGATAAATATACCTGAACAAAAATATACAATCCTATTGATTTAGTCAATAGTAAAAAAAAGTTTTTTTTAAATGCATTTTAAGCTAAATTAAAAATTTTAATCCATACAAAAGGTTATATTTAATTATAAACCAAAAGAATATGGTTTGGGTTTTTGACCTTGCAAACAGTGGATTGCAACTGGGCTGAGTGGACTCGGCCAATTTTCAAGAACAAAGCGGGCTGGGATTGGGAGTAAACCACATCGATCTCTGTTGGTAAATCTGAAAAGAAATTAGGTTTTTTTTTCTTTTTCGCATATAAATTCAACAAACAAATAGCTTTAAACCTCACTTGCAGCAGCGGTAGCAGCAGCCTCTCTTTCTCATCTTGTACGCCTTCCTCTCTTTGTGGATTTCATTTTTCATGTTCCATAGTTCCAAACCTATCTATATTTTATGTTACCTGGATGTTCTGATTAGCATGCGTTTGTTTTTTTTCTCTTAAAATGTTAATATGAACATGATCGTTAATGTTATCCTAACTAGCTATAGTTAAACTTGGATTTAGAGTTTTCTCTGAAATGCTTGTTTGATTCTTTATGGTTTTCGAACTTGTAATTTATTTACAGGGTATTGAAGTTGAAATTGTTTTGGTTTTTCTGTTTTTTTGGTTACTGAATATAAATTGGCGTTAAATTAGGTGATTTGAGCGTTTAGGATTCTTTTTGGGTTAAGCAATTCACAAAGATGCAGAACGAAGAGGGTCAAAACATGGATCTTTACATCCCCAGAAAATGGTATTTATTCTGATTGTCACCCTTGTTTCATAATGTTTGTTCTTTTACCTTGTTTATGTTCGAAGGTTATATGTGCGTTATTCTTGTTGTTGCAGTTCTGCCACTAATCGGTTGATCACCTCAAAGGATCATGCTTCTGTTCAGATTAATGTTGGACACTTGGATGAGCTTGGTAGATACACTGGATCCTTCTCCACTTTCGCTCTTTGTGGCTTTGTCCGTGCCCAGGTTCGTGTTGGATCTCTACTTGCCTATTGGTTGTTCTGTTCTGTTGCTTCATCTGCATGCTTGTTGCTCGAGTGTTAATTATTTTTCTGTGACGTTTTAGGTGTTGGTTTATGCAATATTTGAAAGTTCTGAGTATATTTAAAAGACCATATCCTAGGCGTAGAACATTTGTCACAGTTGTTGGATGTTTCAGAATTCTAACTGATGGATGATCAAGGAAGGAGCTATGCCAATCATTGTGATGATGTTGTGTTGTGTCTTAAGTCTCTTCTGATTGATCTGTACATGTTTGCAGGGTGATGCTGACAGTGCCCTCGATAGGCTCTGGCAGAAGAAGAAAGCTGAAGTCCGACAGCAGTAGTGGGATTTCCTTTTAGTACTAAAATGGTCTCTGAATTTGGGTTGGAAAAATGTTTTCGTCAATCAACGACTGTTAAAATTCTTGGTTGTTTTTTAAGAATTATGCTGAATAGTTTTGTTGATTTGATGATGTTTCCTACCTAATTTGCTTGCATTGAACCAACTATAGTATTTGCATCTTTCTTTTCGTGATATATTATATGCATTATGAAAGATTTAAATCACGTACTCGGATGCTGCTGATACTCATGTTATGATCTTAGTTTCTGGGTTGCTAGAAATCTTTGCCTGTGGCATTTGGTTATTAAAGGCCATGTTTGATGTTGGCAGATATAAACCTGGATAAATATCTACCAAGACATGTACTTGGTTGAAAACCTTTGAAGTTACTCACTTAAACTAACTAGACTTGTTGTTCCAATCATAGACAGAATGGGTGGAAGTAGAACAAAAATACGTATATGTTAACCGAAATTTGATGAAAAATTTTGCCCGATCCATATGGTTCCCGTTAAAAGAACCCGTCTCCATGGTCCGAGCCTTCCTGCAGTTTATGAATCTGTTTCCATGGTTTGGATTCATGACCATGTGGATAGAACATTGCGCCAGATGTGAGTATACGTCAACCACTCTTATTTAATTAGAGTTTTCAGCCTCGTCCTCATTTTCTGGAGAGCTTCCTGCAAGCCAACCCCATACACCACCTGAGCCATGCCTCTGCTTCGAATTTAGGACATCTTGTTCAGATGTGGCTTTTTGTCGCTGCAGGAGATCAAGTTCCTTCGTAGTGTTTCCATTGTCTGAACCATCTGTCGCAGTTCCGCAACATCAGCCGGTTGATTCAAAGATTACTAGACGGCAAAAAGAGATGTAAACTATGATAGCCTATAAATTCATACAAACAGCGAAGTTGAGATATATTTCAAATTCTGTCAGTATGCTCTACGATGTATTTGTATACCTTATCTGATTTTAAATTCTCGTGTCAAAACATCATTGAGCGGTTGTAGTAAAGGAAACCAGAGTTTGATACCCATTCAATTAGGAGAAAACAGATCAAATAAGTATACCATCGTTCTCATATACCTCTAATTTAAAACATCTTGAATGCTCGGAGGCAAGTTGACCACGCAAGGATTGGAGCTCCTAAGATGTAAATGGAATTTGTCGAGTAAAATTGTTAAGCTAATAAACAGCACTGTAGTCAAAGAACTACATGACCTGGCATCATACATCTGAAAAAACTACCTTGTAGAGGTCAGTGTTTTGATCCTTGGCATCTGTTAGTTCTTGCCTTAGGCGGACAGACAAAAATTGCTCATTGTGGAGTGATGATTCCAGTTCTTCCTTCTCCGCCTTGACCATTGCTATAATGTGCTCACTAGTCCCCTCACCTTCGGATTTCTGCATATACTTGAGAGAAAGAAATAAAACTAATGATACAGAAAATGACAATCTGAACACCTTAAAACTTCAATACTCCGTAATTTTTAAAATAAGGAACTGTAAAAAAAGTGTATATAGAAGAGTGAATAAAATAAATTTTTTTAATGACGAGTAAGAATGTTATGATGTAAACTGGAACCACGACATCAGATATATGAAACAGAGGCATTCAAGACATACACGGAGCAAGCATGCACTTTTTATCAGAAGATCTCAACCAGAGATTTCCAATGAAGCTTAAATGGAATTGATATTTACTATCAAAATATTATATACCGTGGGCTCAAAATTATCCATAGCAATTTTTCTTACTTTTCCTTCTTGACCAACTTCAAACTCGGATTCCAAATCTCTGGTAGGATTTGTCGCATAATGCACGGTAGAGACACTATCAGGAACAGGTCCCTCCATTATCTTCCATTGCAAGGTCAACTTATGACTTGGCTTAAGAACATTAACCTGATAGCCAAACATAAATGATCATACAGTAACCAAAAGGCCAAATCATATAAAAAAGAGGTTAAAATCGTCTATACCTCACTATTGTAGCGCCCATTATATCCTCCAAAAGATATATCTTCCCCATTAAGTGAGCCTACAACCAGACTTAAACCCTACAGTCAAGACAATTAGATAAAAACTTTGTATCTTCAATCCGTGACACCTGAAGTTATCTCCTATTATGAAGACCAATCGACCACAACCATATAACTCCTTCCACGTTAACACATGTACATATAACTGAGAAGTGAAAAAAGGAAGTTTTCTTTCGACCTGATAAACTATTACATTAGTCTTGGAAACATGTTTTTTGAGTATAAAAGTCAATGAAATTAATTGACGAGAATAAACATGCTGAACAAATCATTAAAGAAATACAGTCAAATGATCATAATAATCACAGAAGCACAACAACAAATGTAGAAAGTCTACTTTATTTATAGGCTTTCTCTAGCTTTCCTTGTTGATCCAAATTGTAACATTACCGGCACAATTAAACCAATACACATATGCTGCATAATACAAACAAAGATTTTCCACATGCCACATGCCACATGTATGATGTAACAATTTTACAGGGAACAAGCATTTGTAAAATGTAAATTACCTCTCTAGCAAGAGGAATGCGTCCTTCAACTGATGTCACAACTGACCAGGCTAAGGTTGACATGTTAAGCACAACAGTTTCTGATGCCCCTGGAAGAAGAGAGTAGCACAAGCAATCAAAGATTGGGGAGCGGTAATCAAAAGTAAGCTTTTTCACGCAATCAATAGATAGTACCAGAGTGTTCTTTTCTTCACATAAAAGGAGGACACTTGAGAGTATAACTATAGTAACTCAACCAAGCATATAGTGGGAAAGTCATACAAGGAACAATCGACAATTGTAATCTTCTATTTGATTTCAAAGTGAGACATTTACCACTTTTATTGTCTCCACCACCAACAATAAACCAGTTCTCCCCAACAGTCACACCTGCATGACCAGCCCTAGGAACGGGTATCTCACCTTGTTGTGTGGGACTTGACCACTCCATCTATAAATCCAAATACATAAAGATAAATATACTAATTTCCCAAAAGCACATGCAAAAATGCAAAACAGTAATTATCTTACAGTTTGCAAATCAAGGGCATGCAAATCATTGAAGCAAGTAGCATGTGAATCCCCACAAAAAATAAGAAGATATTGCTCTGCATGTAATGCAGCAGAATGTCCAGACCGCGGTGAGGGAGGTACCCCCCTGCATGACGATGAGAATAAACAAATATTAAGAGCTATTGTGGAATATAAATGTCCAATCTATAAAACAATTGGGTAAAAGGGATTACTCAAAATAGAAGTACTACAAGGATTGTATCATGCTGAATTTTACTTCATAAATGTCCGTTTATAAACAGGTTGGATTACATATGAATCACATAGAAATGAAGCTCAGGTATAGTACTAGAAAAGCAGAACTTGGATTCAAGCATGCTGCATGTCCAATGTCAGTGTACAAAAAAAGAAAGAAAGAATTCAAGTGTGAAGTAATTTTGGATCACTATCTTAATACCAGTGTTATATAGCATTTTTGTTATTTAAATAATAAGTTAATTACTGGAATGAAGCAGATGTAATTGTGAATTCAATTTTGATGGCAACCTATTGTTAGGAAAAAGATAGAAACTAAAACATCAGATAGCTGTTATGATAGTGGAACCTATCAGGTCAATATTATGGACCAATGCTGCTTGTGCTTTGCAACAAACCTAGTTCAAGCCAGCTTTTGATATTTTTAAGGTGACAAATGTAAATTCATTTACAATCTCCATGATAAAGGCTATAGAAGTACCAGTAGCACGTCTTTAACAAAAGAATGAAGACATCCAGTAACATATGTGGAGTGTAGAGAGACAGTGTGGGACCAAAATTGCCAAAAATATTCTTACACAGCATCAATTTCTTCCCAGGTCAAGGTTTCTAGGTCAAGTATATGTAGATCATTCAAGAGAGTCTGCTTTGCATCCTGTCCACCAAATATTACTAAGGTTAAGTTACACTTTTATAAAGGAATTTCTCTGAGGAGGAAATTTGGGAGGCTATTCAATCATTGGATAGCAACAAATCTCCGGGTCCGGATGGTTTGAATATGGGCTTTTTCAAGAAATTTTGGCAGATTTTGAAAGGAGATATTCAAAAGTTTTTCAGAGATTTCTATGAGGGGAAAAAGTTCGGGAAAGGTGTGAACCATTCATTCATTACTCTAATTCCTAAGAAGACAAATCCGGTTGATATTGAAGACTATAGACCAATTAGTTTGGTAGGGGGACTTTACAAAATTTTGTCTAAAGTTTTGTCAAGAAGGTTAAGAATGTGCATAGGAGAGTTGATTGGTCATTCCCAATTTGCTTTTATCCCGGGTAGACAGATTTGTGATTGCTCCTTAATTGCTAATGAAGCCATTGGTTTTTGGAGGAGAAAAGGAAGGGAAGGTATCGTGTTTAAAGTGGACTTTAAGAGAGTGTATGATACCGTGGACTGGGATATTTTAATCCAAATTATGGAGTGTATGGGGTTCGGTCAAAGATGGAAGTCTTGGATTCTAAAATGTTTAAATACAACTTCAATTTCAGTTCTTGTTAATGGCTCTCCCACAGAAAGCTTTAAAGTTTCGAGGGGGCTAAGGCAAGGATGTTCTCTATCCCCTTTGCTGTTTAATTTTGTGGGGGAATTTCTGAATCTTCTGCTTTCTAAAGCAGTAGAGTTGGGGTTGTTCGAAGGTTTTCAGATAGGTCACGATAATTCTTCAGTAATTCTATCTCACCTACAATTTGCCAATGACTTGATAATTTTCTGCAAAGCCTCTAAAAGTCAATTGGAAAATCTGAAGAGGGTCTTGATTGTTTTCGAGTTATGTACAGGGCTACTGCTGAATCTGTTGAAGAGCAGGATTTTCGGTATTAATTTACAAGAATCAGTTGTTGGGGATTGGGCTACCTCTATAGGATGTTTTCGAGGCTCCTTTCCAACGGAGTATTTGGGGTTACCCTTGGGAGCTAGGAGGAATTCTATTCACCTTTGGGAGCCGATTGAGAATAAGTTCTACAAGAAACTTGCAGGCTGGAAATCAGGTTATTTATCCATTGTAGGAAGGGTTGTTTTGATAAAATCAGTCCTGAATGCTCTTCCAAATTA